TAGTCGGGTTTCTGCCTCCCATGTGGGACTCCTGTCTTGTGTTACCGGCTCTGGGTCTCACCGCAGCCCAGCCCTTGCTGTTGTGGGCATTCAAGGAGTGAACCAGCATGTGCAAACTCTTCCTGTCTGCCTCTCGATGAAAGAAAATGGCCTTTTCTAAGGAGCAGGAAACTGCCTCTTTCTCCTTCCCACTGCTCAAATTGTGTGCCTCTTATAGTTCTATTTGTGCATCTTGAAACTATAAAAAATTGTATCCCTTAGCAACTGAGGTTATTGCAAACAACATAAAATATATAGAACACAACTCTATTTTTGTTTTCATGAAACATTTGCTACTTTTGCAGAATTCTTTGTCATGTTTAGAGTTGCCATTCTTGGGGCAGGTATTTGCGATGAGGTTAGTTAACCCGCTGTCTGTAATACAGCCATGCGTTAGAGGAGCAGTTTGAGTCCCGGCTGCTCTGTTCCTGACCCAGCCTGCTAACGCGCCTGGGAAGGCAATGGAGGCTGGCCAAAGTGTGTGGGTCCCTGTCACTAAGGAACGAGACCTGACTGGAGTTCCTGGATCCAGAAATTGATTGTTGTGACCAATTGGTGAATGAGTCAGTGAATGAGAGAACATGCTCTCTCTCCTTTTCTAATCAGTCACTCATTAAATCAATCTGTAAAGCGATCATGCTTTAAATCACCCAAGCTGCAAGAATCCTAGAAATCTTACTTTAAATGCTTTCTCTGTTTAACACACCATTTTTGAAAGGCAGATAGAGGCAGAATCAGAGAGATCTCCTGTCTGCTAATCACAGCAGCTGTGACTTTGGGGTCAGGCCAAAGCCAAGATCTGGGACTCAAACTGAATCCCTACATGGATGACAGGGATTCAGCTACTCGAGACCTTTCTGCGTATTGGCAAGAAGCTAAAATCAGAAATGGAGCTGGATTGACCGAGGCAAGCTGATGCAGGATGGCAGGCGCCACGGATGGGGCCCTCACTGCTGTTCCCAAAGCCTGCCTCATATTCTACTAGTCACAAATTCCTGGACATTTGTCTTCTTAGGATATTTCATAAGCTCACCTCATCTATCCATGCTTTCTGTAATTATTTTTAAATGGAAATTCTTATTTGTCCTGGAATATCTTAGTCACCTTTTAAATATCCTTACAGTTTCCCAACTTTCCTTCATTCTTTGGCCCTCACCATCAAACTATCTCCCGCATGGACTGTCCATAAATCCTTCTGAAATGCAAATCTGGTGATGATTCCCACCCGTTTCAGGTTTTCCAGTGACTTCCCAGGAGGACCTTGAAGGAAAAGGTCCAAACATAGGTTCATGTTATACAGCAACCCTGTGTGCAGGGCGCCGTGCGCAGGACCTCTGGCCCTTGTCTCTACCCAATCTGGTACTTTTTTTTTTCCATACTCAGTTCCATTCATTCTGAAGTTGACCTTCTAACACATCACAACAGTATATCCTATTCTCCATTATTTTTTCAAATATGTATTCATTTGAAAAGGCAGAATTAAGCAGGGGTGGGGAGAGGGTTAGAGATTTTCCATCCACACATTCACTTCCAGAATGGCTGAAATGGCCAAAATCAGGAGTCTGGAGCGTCATCTGGGTATGGGGTACCAAGTACCACTTAGGCCAGCTTCCACTGGTTTCCCAGGAGCATTAGCAGGGAGCCGGATCGGAGGTGGAGCAGCCAGAACTCAGAGTGGCATCTGTATTGGAGGCTTTACCTGCTATACCACTCTTCCTCCATTCGACTCAAGGACTCCTACTTAGATTTTAATCCTCAAATAGTTCTATTTTCACATCAACTTTACACTTTCCCGACTCTGCCCTTATAAACAGAATTAGACATTCCTTCCTTAGTGATACTAAAATTTAGCTTCCCATACCAGATTGAGGATAGAGACTAGAAAATTTCTATCGTACTTTATTCTCTGACACTGGCCTTGTAGATGGAGATGCTTCATAGTTTTGAATAATGGTAGATCTAAGCATATATTAGCATATTTAGAAAAAAACTTTTTGTTGACTTTTTTGTTTATATAAAAAGAACAAATTTCAAATATTTCTTATATGCAGTTTTTTTTTTTTAAAAAAGCTTTACTTGTTTTTATTGGAAAGTCAGATTTACAGAGAGAAGGAGAAACAGGGGACGGTCTTCCTCTGCCGGGTCACTCCTCAGATGGCTGCAAAAGCTGGAGCTGAGCCAATCTGAAGCCAGGATCCAGCAGCTTCTTCTGGGTCTCTCATGTAGGTGCAGGGTCCCAAGGCTTTGCGCCATATCCACTGCCTTCTCAGGCCACAATCAGGGAGCCGGGTGGGAAGTGGAGCAGCCAGGACACAAACCGGCACCTATATGAGATCCTGGCAGATGCAAGGTGAGAATTCAGCCACTAGGCTACCGTGCTGGGCCCCATATATACTGTTTCAAGACCATAGTGTTGCTTTCCACCCTAAGCTCCTTCCCTCCTCTTATGTTTTTAGTTTTTTACAATGATATACTTCCTAATGTCCTTTATAATCATGAGCTTAACCTTCCACTAAGTTAAGAATTCAACAACTAGAGGTAGAAAAGTCACTGTTCAAGAGTGTTGGCAAGGGTTATAAACAGTAATCAGATCTCAAGATGGCACTGTTGTCCATATGCTGTTTTAGTACTCTGTGTACCACAAGCTTTTGTTTCATTCTGCTGCTAAAAATACTATCCAACCATTGTCAAAAAATCCAGATAGACCACAAGGAGTTAGCTGTTTTGTTTTTAGTGATCTATAAATATAAATTGAATATAGACGTTTTGTGTTTTTCTTCTATTTCCTGCATTTCCAAAGAGTCTATTTCATGCTTCAGAAGAGGCCTGATGTTGTTTATTTCGATGGCTCGCAGAGACAAGAGCTCCAGTAGCCAAACTGGAATCCAGCTGGTGCCCCCAAACGCGTCCTTGAGGCGCCCTTCGAGGTTGGCACTCTGGTTTCCGAGCTGAAGTCTCGATGCTGTCTTGGTGCTGGGGAGGCCAGCCCTCACCTTCTCCTTCTGCATAGTGGAGGTGCTGCCACTTCCTTTGCAGGTAAAGGAGCAGGCACTTGCTGCTGCGTCCCAGAGCTGGGTGAGCATGATTCACGTGTCATGCTCCATGAAGTGGTCCCGTGGTTATGCTTATTTGTCGACTCTGGTTTGTAAGTCTGGATTTACAAGTCTAGATTGCCTTTCTGTTACGGTGAATTCTTCTGCCTTCAGTTGTGCTGTTCTTAACTCCTTTCTTCACTCTTTGTAAAAGTGCCTCTGCATGTCAGAGCTCCAGTTGTCCGCAACATTCAAACTTACAATGAAGGAGGTTCTTCAGCCACTCCCTCCATGCAATAATGAATAAATATTCTTTGTAACAGAGCAAAAAGTTAGAAATAGACTCCATCAATGAACGTACTAATTGTTTTTCCTATCTCTACCAGTAGCTTTGATCCTGTTGTTTTAGCTTAAGTGGCCTCTCTGTATAAAAGATAAAGCTTGTGATGATTCTTGCTGCTGGGAAAACTCTGAACTCACGGTTGGTTAACAAGTTCTGGACAGATGATAAATGGTTGGTCTTTTCAGTAATTGGTTCATGATATGTAAGCTATACATATCTCAAGTGTGGATTATACAATTTCCTTTTTATTCTGGACAGTCCAACTTTTATTTTTGCCTGAATGTGTGTATGATATTACTGTTGCTTTACTGTGTAGAAAATGAGTTTACTTATTTGTTGGGGTCAGTGCAGTGGTGTAACAGGTTAATCCTTTGCCTGTGGTGCCAGCATCCCATTTGGGTACAGTTCATGTCCAGGCTGTGCTACTTCCAATCCGGTTCCCTGCTTACGACCTGGGAAGGCAGTGGAGGATGGCTGAAGTCCTTGCAGCCCTGCTCCGACGTGGGAGACCAAGGTAGACACTTCAGGCTCCTGACTTTCAGTTGGCTCAGCTCTGGCTGTTGAGGCAATTTGGGGAGTTGAACCAGTGGACGGAAGATCTCTGCTTCTCCTTCTCTCTGTAAATCTGTCTTTCCAATAAAAGTAAATATATCTTTTTTTAAAAAAAAGGTTGTGTGAGAGACAGGGAGACATATAAGACAGAGAAAAAGCCCTTCCACCCACAAGTCTGTGTCCCAGATGCTAGAAGTCTGGAGTGGGTAACTCAGTTCAGGTCTCCTGCATGGGCAACAGGAATTGAATTACCTGGGCCATCGTTAGCAGGAAGAGGTGGCTGTGGAGCTCAGGCTGTCTAATATGGGGCCTGGGCATTACAATGGGCATCCCGACCTCTCAACTAAATGCCTACCTCCTGTTTTTTCAATTTAGATTTATTTTATTTTTATTGGAAGATCAGTTTTACAGAAAGAAGGGCGCACACACAGAGAAAGATCTTCCATCTGTTGGTTCATTCCCCAAATGGCCACAAAGGCCAGAGCTTCTCCCTGGTCTCCCACACAGGTGCTGCAAGGTCCCAATGCTTCGGGCCATCCTCCGTTGCTTTCCTAGACCATAAGCAGGGTGCTGGATTGGAAGTGGAATAACTGGGACACAAACTTGGGCTCATATGGGAAGTGGTGCTTGAAGGTGGAGGATTAGACAATTGAGTCATCACATCAGCCCCTTCTGAGTGCTTTTTGAGATTGATATTCCATGAGTAAAATTTTGTTACATGAGAATGAAAGTTCTGTAATAATGACATTGCCATTGGATATAGCAGTATCACAGACACAGGTGATCGCAGTTCGTAATGCCTGTGTGGGGTGTAGCCAGGACTAGTGCATATGTCCACTTCCTGTTTGTTATGCTTGGCAGTGTGACAAAGCAGAGGTGATTGTTTCTGTTATGCTCAGCTTTACCAAATATTGACAATATGCTAAAGATCAGGATTTTAAAGCATATTTTTACACTGAAGCAAATCTGTAAGGAAATGTTCATGTATATGTCCAATTTGTCACCCATAAACAAAGGCACATTGAGATGATCAAATGATCATTTTATTTATAAAGACAACTTTGAAATATTTATGATGGAATATATAACTATGGAACAGAATTGTGTGTAAACAGTAATTCTACAGCTGGGAAGACGTCTCGGTTCTCTTCACTTTGGTGACATCTTCCCAGCCACGTCTGATCTTCAGTATCCTCTTCCTCAAGCACGGCAGGGAGAGTATGCCTTTAGCTGTCAGCACAGCGATGGGGAGCAAGACAGCTATCATAAAGGTCGGGGGCGTATACCACACAAACTGCTTCACATCTATCCATTTGTTCCAGGCAAAAACCAACGCGTGTATTGTGCCCAGTAGCAGGGAAACAATTCCTAGTTTGCTCTGCAAAAAAGAAAAACAGGAACAACTTGGTGAACATTGGCTGCACAGGAGCTTATTCCACCCTACACCCTCTGGGTCATGTTGATTTTCCTATAGGATTTGTTAACGATGCTCACATTTTCCCACTCTGTACATCTGTCATTGGGGTAATGCTTGTGTCTTCTGGTTTCTTGTGATCAACAATCTTGTCTTCTGCTTTCCTAGTACTCGGACGCTTGGCTCGTTTCCCTTAGGACATCTCTGGCACTTTGTCTCTTGTGCAGTTGCCTTAGTTCTATTAGCACTGTGTCCTTATCATGACAATCTGGCAGAACCAACACAACAATGTGCACTTGGTAGCTGCTAAGGACTCTTGGTGGGTTTCTTGAAGATTGCTGCAAAAATCTATCTGAACTCTCCATTACTCGTGAGCACAACTAATGTGCTATATTTTGGTTTTGTTAGCCAAATACTAAAGGGAATTAGTGAGCAATGAATCTGGCCTTTGATTTAAAAAGCATAAAAGACATTCAGGGCCCAGCATGATAGCCTAGTGGCTAAAAGTCCTTGCCTTGTATGCACCAGGACCCCATATGGATTCCAGTTTGTGTTCTGGGTGCTGCACTTCCCTTCAGGCTCCCTGCCTGTGGCCTGGAAAAGTAGTCGAGGGCAGCCCAAAGCTTTGGGACCCTGCACCTACATGGGAGACCCAGAAGAAGCTCCTGGCTCCTGGGTTCAGATCGACTCAGCTCCAGCCGTTGTGGTCACTTGGGAAGTGAACCGGTGGATGGAAGATTTTTCTCTCTGTCTTTCCTTCTCTTTGTAAATCTAACTTTTCAATAAAAATAAAGAAATCTTAAAAAAGACATTCTGATAAGATGGAAAAGTACTGATGATTACCACAATAATTTAATAAAATAAATAAGAGAAAAATCTCAGCTGGTATTGGATTGCTTTGGCACCAAACCTGCTTATTAATAACTTATGCATCTATGTAATCTCAGGGCCTCCTGACGGCAGCTCTTCTAGATGATTTCTGACTTCTGTTCACTTTACTGGAAATGATCACTAGCCTGTCAGAATGCATCCAGCTCTCAGTTACTTGGGCGTATTCTCCAGCCTCCATGAGCACAAGAAAATAGCTGTGTTTACATTTCCAGAGAGGCCGCAATGAGGCAAATCATAGTCCAGCTGATTTTTGAGCTCTAAATGAAATCTTCCTGCACTAATCACTGAAGAGTACATGCTATTCTTTGAACATAATTTACCAGATGTGTGCTCCATACTTATCACTGACCAGGGGCTGCACACTGAGCAAACTGGAGTCAATTGTAATGATGCAGTGGCTAAATTACGGAACGTGCTGAAACGTGGCCTTTAGCCTGTGTGTGCCAGGCAGGTGGAGTGACGCAGGAAGAAAGCTCCTCCTAGAGGGACTGCGAGCTCCCATGTCCATGGGGCCCAACTATTTTTGGGGATTGTGGTTCCATCTCTAAGCTGCGCGGGGCCAGTTCAGATCGAGCCATACTTTCCAGCTTAAGCAGGTGTCTTGATGCTTGCTGAAGTGAACTTGTGGAGGGTGTCTGACTCAATGGAAATTTCCAAAGATGTCCACCCATAAGTGCTAACTAAACTCTAGACATCTTGGCAGCGCTTATGATGGGATTAAATTTAGTCCTCTGAATCCTGTCTTTCCGCATTCTGGCATACTGCTCTTATTACGTGGAGTCCTGCGGGATGAACTTCAGTAAGTCTGTGGGAACTTTTGAATTTCAAGAATATCTAAAAACTTCTGAGGAAGGTACACAAAATTTAATTTGGAAAAGCAAAATGAGATCTTTTAATACCTTATATAAATAAACTCCATATTTCCAGGAGAGACTTTTTTTTTCCTGGCTAGTATGAAGATGTGTAACTTAAAAGACATTAAAGCCAGAAGACAGATAAAGAATAGTTTTAGTTGCAGAGAACGGATAAATCATGGATATTGGTTACCTAAAATATATTTCTAGTTAAATGACCAGCAACCTGTGTAACAAGTTCAAACATCAGAATACTTTTATTTGGGGACTGCCTTTTAGTTGGATCTAGACACACTCTTCCTATTTGGAGACGGTAGGAAAAATGACGAGAGAGTGTGTGATTAAGGGCCTGAAGTGAGGGATCTTTGTCTTGTGTTTTGGTGAGTGGGTCAAGGCACTTGCCAGTGTGAGTGCAGAAAGATTAACCTCTTAGACGATCAGAATTTGTTACACCTCACTTACCTGAATACAGTGAAACTCTCTCCAGGTCAGAGAGTCACTCACAGATGGAATAGAGGTCACAGCTAAAAGTGCCAGGATGGCAAGTCCCACAATACCCAGAGACACGTAAATCTCCATTCTCCAGACGTCATGCTCAATCCAAGCATCCTCTCTGTTTTGCTGGACCTACCGGGGAGTAAAAGAGGAAAGACAAATGAAAACAACACTTACTTCCCATCCATGTCTCCTTCCACACTTCCTGTCCACTAGCAAGGCTCTGAAAACCAAGAGGCCGCACAGGTCCGCGGCCGCCCCTGCCCCTGCCCCCCGCCCCCCGGCTTTCTTCTAACACAAGTTTCACACAGCAGCTAGTAATTATTTTCCTCAAATACAACATGAATATGACCTGTTATTTTTATTATGTAATTATTATTTGATGGTTTGGACGAATTTACAATATGCATCCACAGGTGGCAAATAAGCAGAACAATTAGCATTCACAAGTAAGCTTAGAAGGTGGTAGAGGACTCGAACACATACAGTTAAGATTGCACTTTATTTTCAAGTTAAAACAGGTTCTTCAATCTAAGCGTATATAACCAAGGCCAAATGAAGCTATAATAAAATAATTTTAAATTTTCAATATTTTCTTAACATATAATTTCTACATTAGTTTGGGGTATTGATATTCCAATGGGACAGGTCTAGGTGACCTAGACTGGTTAGTTCAGCAGTATTGTCAACACGCCCCTCCTACCTGTTGGTACGCCCAGTTGAGCAGCTTGTATCTGTAGGAGCGTCTCATGGGATAGGATAAGCTGTACAGCGCATGCAGTACGCCGAAAAGGAAACTCAGAAGCCCAAGCTGCTTTCTTGCCAACATCCACCTGTCCAGCCAAGGTGGAAATTTCTTATACTTGGTTCCATTGCGAAGTTGGACCACGGCTGCTGTCACCCCCGGCAGATACACCAGAGCCAAGAGGGTGATGGAGACCATTGGCAGGACCTTGTTGATGACCAGGACTGGAATTTTGTAAAAATACTGTTGATGGGAAGTGACTAGAGGGTGGATTATTTCCCTCAGCAGAGTGTACAGGAAGGTCAGCGATGAGGTAAGAGCAGCTATCTTAAGGGGCAAGCGCCATTTTGGAAAGAGCGCCTGCGTGTGCTGCAGTTCTGGGGGATAGTCCACGTCCTGTGCGGGGGCTGCTTGGTGCATGCGCGGGAGCCCAGGTCTTCCCGGCGTGCGGCTCTCGCCTGCGTCCTTGTTCTACAGAGGAAACAAAGTGGACATCTTAACACTGCACAAGACAACGCCAGTGGCCAATCGTTGTGCTGCTCAGAGGGGAGGGTGTCCAGGGCGGCTGAGAGCCATCCTGCTGGTGAGGGCCCAGTCCCTGCCGCTCTGAGCAGGTTCTCCTGAGACCTCCACGGAAACCTAGATGTTTGAAGACCTGAAATAATGCAGCTGCGACGCCAACACCGAGGAAGTTTTCTTTCTATTATTTTTAAAAATATAATAATCTTTGTAAAAATAACAGAAATAACTCATTTCCTGAGAAGGCTATACTTCTTTATCCAGTTGCACTTTAAGACAGTCAATGAGTCAGGAGAAGGTTGCATTGAATGTGTCATTCCACTAGTTGACTGGAATACTAGCACACTTTTAAAGAACTTTCAAATAATATATACATTTCATGGTGTCCTGCTTTATGAGTAAGTTTACTTCTCACTCATATGTGCATCTCTGTGTGGAGATCCAGGCTATTTTAATGCCGGAAATGATGTTAGTGTTTATCTTGCTCATTACATGTTATGCAGAGTAATTTTAATTCATAGAGTTGTCTGTAATTTCTAGTGGTAAAATGACTGCTCTTGCCGTTTGAATTTCACATGCAGTAATACGGCACCGTGGCAGCCAATGCTTTTCCCAGTTACTCCGCTTTCCTACATGGAGCTGAACAGGATACAGCTTCTGTCCATTCTGGCTGTTAAAACAATGAGCTTAATCAGCTGATATTAATGAATGGTTAGGAGCAGATTTTGAAACAGCAAGAAAGGCATTTGAAAAATGAAAATGACTTTATTTGTGCATACTGTTAATTTTTTAGAGTGTGTGCCCAGTGAATTTATTATTTGTCTATTAAAACAATAGGGGCCCGGCGTAGTAGCCTAGTGGCTAAAGATCTTGCCTTGAGAGTGCCGGAATCCCATATGGACGCCTGCTCTAATCCCAGCTGCTCCACTTCCCACCCAGCTCCCTGCTTGTGGCCTGGGAAAGGCGGAGGATGGTCCAAGGTCTTGGGACCTGCACCCACGTGGGAGACCTGGAAAAAGCTCCTGGCTTCTGGCTTTGGATTGGTTTTTGTTCCGGTTGTTGGGGAGTGAATCAGTGGACGGATACCTTCCTCTCTCTCTCTCTTCCTCTCTGTATATCCGACTTTCCAATAAGAATAAATCCATCTTTAAGAAAATAAAATAGGAGAAAATAAGTAATCTGTGGTAAAATTGCAGTTGAGATAATTTAGAAATGTAAGAGATGGAAACCAAAATTTTCTACAGTTTTTCAATCAAATAACAGACTAAACAGCATTCAATCCTGCAGTTGGCCAATGTTGGATAAGAGACTTGTCTTCAAAAGTTAAGTTTTGGTTACAATAATCTCTCGTGCTGCTATAAGACCCATGAGAACACAGGTTTCTAGAACACCTATTCTATATGCACTGTTGGCTCTTTTTTCTTTTAAAGATTTATTTATTTTTATTAGAAAGTCATATATACAGAGAAGAGGAGAGACAGAGAAGAAGATCTTCCATCTACTGATTCACTCTCCAAGTGGCCGCAACAGCCGGAACTGAACTGCTCCGAAGCCAGGAGCCAGGAACTTCCTCCGGGTCTCCCACGCGGGCGCAGGGTCCCAAGGCTTTGGGCCGTCCTCGACTGCTTTCCCAGACCACAAGCAGGGAGTTGGATGGGAAACACTGGGACACTTAGAACTGGTGCCCATATGGAATCCTGGCACATGGTAGGCAAGAACCTCAGCCACAAGGCTACCACGCCAGGCCCTGATCATTCTTTCTAATTTAAAATCACAGACAGAATTGGAGGAAGCATGGAGATGACCTGGTGCAACTCTTAGACTCATAAATCAGCCACGACCCCAGGATGCAGTGACTTGCTGAGCTCCTTGGCTACGTTCCCGATACACACGGCACCGTTCTCCCAGGAACACCACAGCGCCTTCCCTCCTGCAGTGTAACTGACAGGTGTGTGAGGGCAGAGATCAGCGGAGGACAGACAGGAGGTCATGACTGTGACTCGGGGACATGCAGAGTGGCGCATGAATTATCAAAGTTAGAGCTTTTGCTTTACCAGATAGTCATCTTCTTCTGGAGTTCCCCGAGGTTTCATTTTCCAAAGTTCTTCTTTTCTGCTCTCCATGAATTCTCCCACACAGTATGGCTAAGGCCACCTACAAGAGCAAAACATTCATCTTCAGAGAGTGCTGACTGACCCACCGACAGCACTGCTTTGCAGGGTGTCCCGCCACGGCCCGCAGAGCCACAGCAACGCTCTGCTTTGTCCTGGGTACTGTGCCAACCCAGGGCTGGGTGTCGCCTTTGACTCCAGAAAGATGTAAGTTCTCATTTTGGAGAAAGTTAACTCCCTTCAAAGACACACAGAACTAAGAATGATCTTTTTTGTTTTAGAGGAACAGTGTTTGAAGGGAGCTCAAATGAACACATATCTGAGGAAGTCAGATCGCTCCAGACCGTTGATGCTGGAGTGTGAGACGGTAATTCCTGACTGGCTTCGCGGGGCTCCCTAGCCTGCGCTTCGGACGATCAACAGAACAGACACTGTTGGTGAGGAGCCTCGTGGCGCTGTGACGGGCATGGCTTCAGCATGCCATTTCACCCTGGGGTTGGCCCAAAGTTGGCGTAATGGCCTGGTCTCTGCTGGCAGAATGCTGGGCTAGTTCCAATCAGGCTGTTGAGTTGTGCCCTCTGATGAGCCCCCACTCTTGCTCAAACCTGTGCAGTCACTCGGTCACTGCATAGAGCAAGTTTTTCCTCAAGAACCTCTGCGGCTCTTCAGCCAGCTTGGTGGAACGTCTTTTAGGGAAGGGAAACATAAGATGTCCCAACTCCCAGTAGAGTTTGTCATTTTATTAGTTCTACGATAATTTCCACAGAAATACATCTGAAATGCGCACTTCATGAAATTCAACGAGAAAAAAATAGAACGGGATTCACAGAAGATATCAACACTCTTTCTGAACTTCAGACTGCCTATAATACTATGTTGAGAGAAAAGCTTGTCCAGGAAGAGTTGAAAACACTTAAAAAACAAAGCTGGGCGGCGTAAGTACGCGCTTTTGCTGTAACTGTGCGGGGCGATTTCAGCGTTTGAACAGAAGGAAGCCAACAAACATAAGCAGGAGTAAGAAATGGGGACACAGAACAGAGCTGGTGGCTTGTTACGACGGGTTCTGAGACCAGGTCTTCTGGTTTCTCAATGGCATCAGCAAGGCAGTTTCCTTTTTACTTAATTTAGAATCGGGCTTTTAGCAGTGACCTTCAGAACGGTTCTTACTGGTCAAGTATTTATGAATTCAACTCTGTGGCAGACACGGAGGAGGAAGAAAAGATATTAGAGTGTGTGCCTGCCCTGGACGAGCCAGGAGTCTATTTCCTTGAGACACTTTCTTCCACACCACTGGAGGACTTAACTGGAACCACACCTAGAGTGGCTAGAGTGGTGTCTGGGGACACGAGGGAAGGATTTACTGTGTGTAGATCAAGTTCTGAGTTCCAGGGCTAGGGAAAGATGTTATCAAATACAGCTACGTTTATGCAACAGAGCAACAATTCAGGACAAGCATGCCAGGAGGGACAGCACCAAGTTACAGGGGTATGAGATAAAGCTTCCACTGTCCCGACCTCGGAGTCTGGGACAGAAGGCTGGCATTTCAACACGAACTAAACAGTGGAGTGATGCGTCCTGCAGGAGGGCCCAGTCTACATGGTGACATGAGAGGGGAAGCAGAGACCTGGGCCATTTGCTGACCTACAGCCACTGGGTGCAGATTCTGGGTAGAAAGCCAGGCTGGCCTTGGGGGAGGACCCATCCTTTTGCCGGTTCACCTGTGTGCTCAGAAATGCCCAACACAAAAGAACAAATAACACACATTGTTCTCCATCGGGCATTAACCAAATAAACCAGGTTCTACCACACTCTGCTTGAGAACAAAAGCCACAGCCACAAAGCAGGAAACAGCACAGAGCTAAGATGCTGGGAATGTCAGAACTTGACCCGAAGTTTGCTAACTTTGCCCCCGTTAAAAAGCGACCTGTTTCTGATGGGGCCTGCTGTGTTTTGCAGTCAGGATAGCTGGCCTGGCTTTCCTGCTAAATATTGACACAGCTCCACTGACTCATGTTTATGGCCACGGGTTGAGAACATGAAGAAACCCCATGACTGGAAGACATTGTGGGTTTTTTTTTTTTCCTGTCATTTCCAAATTTTCAAGTGCACACTGGCCTCACTGTGCTGTTTTGCTTTTTAACTATTGCTCCCTCCCCGGACTCGGCGTCCACACCCCATGAATGCTCAGGATGCAGAGGGAAATACTGTCACAAAAAAGCAGCAGTGACCTGCAAGTGTGTGTACACACACACGCACACATATATATATTTGCTGTTCGCAAATCCTTCCAGTGGATCTCTCTCTCTCTCTCTCTCTCTCTCATACACATACACACACAGATTTGAAGAACAGCTTTGGATGCCACCTGAACCCCACCCAGATCCGGAAAGAGCAGGACCAAGGCTCCAAGGGTCGCAAGCCAGAACTTCTGGGACTAGAGACCCAAAGACCAAGTTGCAGGCATGCACGTGCCAGTCATTCGCCCAGTGCACTGCAAACTCTCAACGACTCTACCAAAAGTTGCAAAACTTGTCATGAGAACCCATCCTAGGTCCGGACTCCATCCACATCAGCGGTTTCTCCCCAGCCTCCGCAGACACAAGCCTTCCAGGGCGTGCCCGGCCCGGGGCCCTGGTTTGGCCCCAGCTGGGGCGCAGGGAGCCGGCGCGGCGCGCGCATGGGGTCGCAGGAGCCGCGCTCGGCCCGGAGCGTCGCCGGTGCCCGGGTCCCCAGGCGAGCGAGCGCCCCGCTCCAGCCCGGCAGCCCTCGCTCGGCCTCGCAGGGCCGTGCCCGCGCCGGGAGCACGCGGCGAGCGCGGACGACCCAGCACACTCACCCGCTGCTCGCCGGGGCCGGACCCTGAGCGCCGGCGCTCCCCGCGCGCCCGAGCCTCCACGGCGCCGGCCTCGGGTCGGGCCGACCCCGCCTCCGCCTCCGCCCCGCGCCGCCTGCCGGCCGCTTCCCGCCGGGGCGCCCGGTGCGGCCCAGCCCGGGCTTCCCGGGGACCCTCCAGCCGCGGGGACCCCTGCCCGCTGCGCTTCCCCTTCAGCGCCGGACAGGAGTGTAAGTCGTCGGAGTCCCGGTCCTCCGGCGGCGGCGTCCGTCACAGCCCCCCGGCGCTGCGGCGGTAGGTTTCGTTCGGGAACCTTCCAGGCCTCCCCCCGGCAGAGCCCGGCCGGGCTGGCAGCCCCTCACGTCCCAGCTCGTCCGCAGCCCGACGTCTCTGAGAAGTGGCTGGTGTGTGCCGTCCAGTCTGACTTTCTGAGAGGGACTGGTCCCGCGAAGGGGCCCAATCTCGAATCTTCTTTCAAAAATTACATTAGCTTATTATTATTATTTTTAAATTATTTGCCACGATATGGTTTTGTAGGCGTTAGGGATCCCCCCTCCACCTCCTCTTCCCTCCCAGTCTCGCTTCTGAACAGCTCCTGGAGCTGCTCCCGGGCCGAAGGTTCCCGGGCCGAAGGTTCCCGAACCCGCGTCCTCCCCTCTGGCCTCGGGGGTCGCAGACCCCGGGCTGTCGCCCTGTCACGGGCGTTTTGGGGACAGAGCTGGACGGGACCGCAGGGGTGTGAGGAGACAGGGAAAATAAACGCCCAGCCGCCTTCCCGGAGAGCCCTTCCTGGTGGCTGAGCTTGGTTCGTGTTTTTTGACTTGTTTTGTTTTGTTTTTTGTAGAACCTGGGCTTTCCGCCGCCCTTCCTAAAGCCCGTCAGAGATTAAATTACTGTGGCCTGACACCTTGTGGTCGAAGGAAAGCTCTACACTTTTTACTGAAACTAGAAAGTAAGTTTTAGGAAAAACAGAAAACTGCGTGTGTGTGCTTCCGGCACATACATATCATTAAAATAAATCGTTAAAGGCACCAAGTAGGGTTGGATTTTTAAAGTGAGCTTAGTCTGATGGTCAGACAAATGCATATGCCTTCTGTTGGACTTGATGGAATGAGCACCCCCCCCCCTTTTTTTGTATTCATACGAAAAGGACATGATTATATTACTATATGGGATATTACTGTAAGCTCACTTTAAAACTGATTTTCTTCTTCCCGTTTAAAATCAAGTTGTAGATATTCCCTTTTCACAGATTGCAGCAGTTTCTTATTTTGTGTTTTTAAAAAGACCCATTTGAAAGGTGGAGTTACAGAGAGGCGAGGAGAGCAACGGATCTTCCATGCACTGGTTTACCCTGACTGCAGTGAAGGGCCAGGCGGGGGCCAGGCTCCTGCAGGTCCCGCACGCACGTGGCTGGCTGGCAGGGGCCAAGCACGCAGCCTCGTTGGCTCGGGCTAATGGGAGGGAAAGCGGTGCAGCCAGGACTTGAACCATTGCTTGCGTGGGATGCCGGCCTTGAAGGTGCTGGCTAACCGGATGTGCCCCTATGCTTGCATTTCGTATAAGGTTTTAATGCTGAATGTCTTGGTTTAGTGAGTACAGGATATTCCAGAGTAAAATGTTTGCAAGATGCGAGTTCATGGATAAGTGACAGTCGTGTGACTAGCGAGCGTTTATGGAGCTGTCAGGAGCCACTGTGCCGCTGAAGGAGCCGCAGCTTTTTTTTTTTTTCATACAGATGAGCCATGACTGTGAGATGGAGGAGATGAAGGCAAATACAGTTTGTGCAAGTTCAGTGCAAAACCGTCCTGGCTGCTCTCAGTCTCTTGAACACTCATCTTTCAAACCCACATGCCTTTTGGAAAACAGCGTGGTGCTCTTGCAAATATTGAAACACAGTTTATGAGTTTTGATATGACTCACAAGAATGGGCGGATTTTAAAATGGGAATTCAGCTGTGAGTTATAAGCAGATTTGGATCACTGAGAATATTTTGTGATAAATGATAGCAAGACAGTGTATTAACAAAATCAGCCTTCATCGTCTTTTCAGGTCAGGTGGCAAGCACTAGTGTGTCATGGAGAATACATAGCAAGTTAGAATTCATGAGTACTTTAAATTAAAAAAAAATATTTTTTGAAAGGCACTGCAATGGGGTCAGAGAACTGTTCTGTCCCCTCATTCAGTCCCCAAACGGCTGCAGCAGCCAGGGCTGGGCCAGGCC